GGGGGGGGGGGGGGGGGGGTCGGGGAGGGGATTGCAGGAATTTATATTGTTCGATATTTATTTACTTTTTGTAACAAACCCATGGACGCCATTGCACAGTGATATGCGCTAATTTACATTCAGGCGCCTAGACTAACACCACGCAACCTTCCTGTGTCTAATAGCGAATATCTTGCTTCCGCTTAAAAGAGACGCACCAAATCCAAATCCTAAGTCCAAAATGGCGCACAGCCGGGTGAAAACGAGGCATCCAGGGCTAAATTGACAAATTTACGGTATTTTCCCATAATTTGATGCCGTAAAAGTGTTATGTTCCTGAATGTAAGAAAGAAAGAAAGACAGAACAAGTGTATACTTTGCATTGAGAACATACAAAATTATTTCTTTGCATTTGTTTAATGGTTGCGCATGAGAAGACACATGAATATGGATACAACTCAAACAAAGAATCTTATACTCGAGAGAGTGGTACATGGTGTGAAATGAGCAAAACATTACGCCCAAGGGGATTAGGTTCATCAGTGCGATACGAGTAATGATGCCTTGTCCTTATAAAACCAAAACTAGTTAACTCGTTTTGTTGTTTTAGAGTTCTCAAACGAGTGGCAGTAGAACAGCCTGACACAGTACAAGCACAAAAGCTCCTCGCCGCAAAGTAAGTACAACAATCATTTACGGCGCTACTGATTTCGCGGAACGATTTTGTCTGCTACTTGTCTCGTAACAGCGTTGCGATACAAGTTACAAGAGTAGAAACGAATTGTACTTTTCGCAAAGATTGCTGAAACTTGTCTCGCAATTTTTTTTTCAAATTGCGCTGTTGGCTACACGCTGCAATGCTCAATGCAACTTGTGTCGCAACGCCGCTGCTAGACAAGTTGTAAAGAAAATTGCTCCGTGTAGTCGCGCCTTAAAGGGACGCTTTTCGTATCCTGAGTTGCAGATGCTTACTCGTTCCATTGCTTCTCGGTCACCGCCCTTACACTCCCTGGGCCGAGAAGACGTCTGATATCCAACATCCAGTAACCCGAGACCCCAGAGGGATGAGAGGGGATGGAACAACTGCTACCGCTTTAACATATCTCGTTATGTTGTTAGGATTTGTTCGGACATGGCAGAGATCGCAGCTTCAGCACGTGATTACGAGAAAGCGATCAACTCTTACAAAGAAGCCTTAGCATATGATGACACCCATAAATCGGTATGCTTGACTGATGTCCTAATTACAATTACTTTAATCTCTGCTTCAATTTTAATTGTTGTTGAAATCGTGTCATTTTTCCTTCACTCTTCTTCAGTGGAAGAACTTTGGATTGGATTTTAAAATGATGAACCTCCCATAGATTTCTCCGTCCCTTACCCTCCTTTGCAGCCGTCATTAGGTCCCAGATCCTCATGGACTCTCTCTACTATACTTACATTAGCAATAAAAGGGTAAATTTTACACCTTGAAAAGATGANCGCTTTAACATATCTCGTTATGTTGTTAGGATTTGTTCGGACATGGCAGAGATCGCAGCTTCAGCACGTGATTACGAGAAAGCGATCAACTCTTACAAAGAAGCCTTAGCATATGATGACACCCATAAATCGGTATGCTTGACTGATGTCCTAATTACAATTACTTTAATCTCTGCTTCAATTTTACTTATTGTTGAAACCGTGTCGTGAACCCTGTCCATTTTTCCTTCACTATTCTTCAGTGGAAGAACTTTGGATTGGATTTTAAAATGATGAACCTCCCATAGATTTCTCCGTCCCTTACCCTCCTTTGCAGCCGTCATTAGGTCCCAGATCCTCCAGGACTCTCTCTACTATACTAACATTAGCAATAAAAGGGTAAATTATACACCGTGAAAAGATGAAAAAACTTACTGACGTTTCGGACGCTAGTCCTTCGTCGGAGTAAAAGAGAGAGAGGTGGTAGAAAGGAGTTTTTATATGATAGAATAAGACAAAAGAAACCAATGACAACAAGGTAGGCAAGGAAAAAAACAACAAACAATCAAAAGACAAAAGAGTGGGTTAGTTGAAAGTAAAGCGTTTATTAATCCCGTTGGGACTAAGAGTAACATTAGTGAAGAAGGCCCGGGAGGATTTGAGACCGAAACTAATGACGGCTGCGAAGGAATAAGACTTTCCACCCCTTTCCCTTTCTGAAACATGAATGATTCATGTTATTTTTCAGCAA